AGCGAACAACTCTAGAAACAGGAACTTTCCTGATCTACTCCCTTAGTTTTGCCTAATAGGATTGCTTCCAATTTTTTGCCACTGTAAGTAACGCTTTAGTGAACATCAGTGTTCATGTCTTCTTAGGGGTCTATTGAAGAGTTTGAAATATATTTTCAAAAGGATGATTGTTTACAAAATCGTTGGGCTTGCTTGGGGTCTTGTGACAGTGGAATGAAATGTGAAAAGTAAAAAATACTAATTAGATGACTAGGAATAGAAAGAAAAAAAACCCCAAAGACACCCTCTCAGTGCTATGTATTGATATTATATTAAGCTGTAAAAAAGACATTTGTTGGGTATGATTCACTCAGAGGACATTCCAGGTTCTGGTGCTGGGGTTTGGCTGAGAATTCACCCCTTTAAGGATGGTTTTACAATAATATTGTTTGCTTTCCTAGATCTAGATCCTAGCAGAGGTGGGGCCATCTTTTCTTGTCTTACAGGGCATTTTTTTCAGCAGTTATTTTAAAAAAAACCTGCAGGTTGTCAAGGCTTTATCAGAAATTAAGTTGGATGAAGAGAAAAAGACACAAGAAACTCAAAACTTCTCACCTGGTGGCTCCCATTGTTCCAACCACCATGGCCTCTTGCAGATTCCAGAACATGCTAAGCAGGGACCTGACTTGCATACTCATTCCTTCCACACAGAACAGCTTTCCCCACTTTATGCCAGCGACTCCTCTGTGAGTCCTTGTTTGCATACCCACCTTAAAAGTGAGACCCGCAACTTCCTATCACCTTCCCTGCTTTATTTTTATCCAAATCACTTATTAAGGAACTGATATATTAAGAATTTAATTTATTTTTTATTGTCTGGCTTGCCTCTCCAAACTGCCACAAGAACAGGAACTTTCACAGGCTTTTTTTTTTTTTTTTTTTGCTGTGTGTCCTCAATGCTAGAACAGTACCCATTATCTAATAAGCACTCAATAAATATTTTATGATGAAATTAATTCATTTCCCTTTTGCTGACTGATTGGATCACCCTGAGGTAAAATTATTAGCTCTACAATGATCTGCCTGACTTATAACTGGAATTTACAATACTTTCTATTTCATTCTTCTTCCCTTGGTGTATGGTGCTCAGTTATTTCCCTATTACATATATTGTCTTTGACTCAAACAACTTCCTGATGAAACTGGGTTGATTTTCTACTCCTATTTTGCAGGTAAGGAAACTGCAATGAGGCATTGACTTGTCTGTGGGTGCACAGGGACTAAAATGGCCTTTGTCTCTCTGTAGTATTAAAGCCCCACCTCAACAATGTCAGATCCTTAGATCTTCCTTTTTTTTTTTTTTTTTTTTTTTTGCCAAGGGACCTCCTGGATGGTGGAAGATAAAGCCCTGTTGAAGGATACCACATGCCCCAAATTTTCTCGTTATGAAATAAAATCCTCTTTAGTCTTTTTTGCTATTTTTTTTTAATGTAAAAGAATGAATTCAGGCCTGCTCTTTCTTCTAATATTGACTACCTAAATTTCAGAACCTACCCTTAAAAATGTAAGTCTATAATTAATACTTTTATTCTCAAAAAAACAGGGAGATGTTCCTCTCTCCTGAAGTTATAGTTACAATTCTCCTTCATGAAAGTTGTCAAATGAATGTGATCCAATGTGTTGTCAGATTCTCTTTCTCTTGTTCAGTAGAGTTCTGTGCCAGTATACAAACCTACCTCCCAGTTGTCCTCAGTTAATAAAAATGTGGGTGTGTCACTTGATTTGTAAGCAATCTCCTGGGAAATCCAAGGATTAGACATTATTGCATGTTCCTTAGAGATGTATCTATGCAGTATGCAATTCTGGTCCACTGGCTGCAAAGATAACAATGTTGTATTTGACATCACTTTCTAACTGGTTAACTAAAGGACTACTAGTTCCAAAACAAATGGACCAATGGTACTTTCTTTTCTTCTTCACACTCAGAGGAACAAAGAGAATCCTAAAACTGCTAGATTAATGTAACAAATAATGTGAGAGTTGGCTTCATTTAAATAACCATACAACATTCAATTGGCACATAGAATTGTGACTATTTCAGAATCTTATCTGATAAGCTCTTCACGGCTCAAAATGTGTTGTTTTACACTTGAGTCCTGTAATCATTTTGAGAAGCCTGCTCATCACACAGAATGAAGTCCTTGGTATAACATTCAGCCAGACTGCTTGCTCAGCCCTTCAGGCTGCTCCCTTCTGCCCACTCCTGTAGACTTTAGTCCCGCCAACCACTTCCAATGCCTTGAATCGAATACTTTCTTACTTCATCTGCCCAGAAAGTTGTTTTGTGCCCTGCTGCCCCTCTCCCCCTGCCATTGGTATTATTTATTCTGTGGTCCTTGGGCTTTCCATACACATCTCTATTGACGCATTAATTATCTTACATGTGTTTTATTTATCTATTTCTCTATTGATAATGCAAACATGATTCAAAATTCAAAATGCATAAAAGGGTTATAATTGAAAAGATCCTCCACCCATCCATCTCTAGGCCATCAAGCTTCCTTTCCACAGAGGCAACCAAAGTTAGCGGTTTGTCTAACATCTTCTAAAGATATTTTACATTCATACATATATATGTACAAATTCTGCACAATATCCCATACCTTGCTTTTTGCACTTGGAGAGGCCATAGGCTAATACAGTGGTTACAATATGGCTTCTGAAGCTAGACTACTTTTGAGTTGCTTTCACTACTTAATAGTTGTGAAAACGTAGGCAATTTTCTCAAATTCTCTAAACTCCCACTTTATAATCTGTGAAGCAAGAATAATCACAATAATTTAACTCAAAACGTTGTTATAAAGGTTAAATAATTTAATGTGCATAAGGAAACTTTTAGGACATTATCTGACAGATGGTAAGCAATAAATACTAGCTACTATTAAGAAAACTAACCTTGTGATGTTTTAAAATCAGACAGAATGATATGCTATTAATGTCGTTGCTTTATTGTTTATCAGATTGCTTCTATTTTGTACAACCAACTGGGCTGCCCTAAAACCCTGTACATGTGTCATTTCGCTCATTTTCAAAACTGGTAAATTCCTAGAGGTGGCTTTGCTGGGTATAAAGATATATGTATTTTTTAATTTGATAGATATCGCCAATTTTCCTCCCTGAAAATTCTACCAATCTTCAGGGCCACCGCCAGTGATTGAAAATTGAGTTCAAGGAGTCTTATTCAAGCTTTTCCATTTCTATTCCAGAAAGCAGTGACTGTCCTATAGTGAAAAGTAGATACTGAATAAAATGATAATTGGATGGAAGAATGCTTTAGGAAATACAGTTGGATTTTGGTGGTAGCAGGAATTACTTAAAATTCAAGATGGCATCTTGTTTGCTCATAAAGTCATTGAAGATTATTAGAAGGCAAAACTTTGAGCTGGTCAACTGTTAGAGATTTCTCTCAGAACCTGGAAAGAGTGATTGAAAAAAGCATTATTGAAGTTTTGTTAATATCATAATGCAACAGGGGGACAGAAGGTAATTAAAGTAGAAAGTTAGCCAGAGCCCCACTTATTGATTGGCTTTGCAGCAGAAAAATGCTTCATTATTTTTGTCACCTGAGGGGGAGGGGACCCAAACCTAACAGTTGCAATTTATATTTTATTCAGGGATTTTATGGAAGAGCATAGCCCAAGAGACAGACTCTCAGATAGTTCTGAGGAACTGTTCCAAAGAGGTAAAGGAGGAGCCAGAATATAAAGAAACTTTTGCTGGAAAAAAAAAGTAATCAAACATCAAAAGATTCCTGCTAATCACAAAAAAGCAGACATCTTAAGTTAATGATATTAGTGCTTTTCCATCTATGGGAAGATGCAGGAGTCTGGGCTCACTGAAATTATTCTTTTGATATGCACCTTAACTATCTAGGGCCAGTGTCTGGTTTTCCTCCATCCTGAATTCCCCCCAGAGCACACCATAGAGGGTGGCTGCAATGGCTGATGGCAGGCAACATTGTTTACTGAAATGGTAGGCAACATTCTTTGTCCACATTATAATAATGGGCTGCGAGCTAATACACCTTATGCCTACATCTGTAGTTTGGCAAGTAGTAAATGGAGAACCACCTTCACTGATTAATCCTATTTCTTGCCAAACATACTCACATCTCTGACTCCACAGAACCTTTTCTTCCTTCCATGGGCACAGCACAGTAAGCCTCACCTTACCCAAGGTCTCAGTTACTTTGGGAGCAGCCTTGGCTGGTACCTCCTCCCCAACCTTTGGAACAAGGAAGACGGTGGAACTGAGTCTTTCCCGCCCGCATTTCTCTAGTTTTCAACTAGGTCCGAAGAATTCAAACAAACAGCTGGACTTTTTTCCCCCCCTCTCCCCATGAATACGTTTTTTTTTCTAAGTTTGTCTTTCGAGTTTCCTTCTATCTATAGTCTCAACATGACAAGACCTTAGAAAGGC